CTGACCGGTGCTTGACCGCGGGGTCAAGCCGACGGAGTGCCATTTCCAAAACTCAACCCGTGGTGTACCACCACCACCACACCTGCGACCCACCTAGCTGACCTTGTAGAAATTCTCTCGTGTGTTTCCTTATTCTTTTCTTTCTCTCTTTGTGATTGGCCTGTGACATCTCTCTTTCTCCCTTTTCCTCTTTCCATTCTGTTCTTTCCTCGATTTCTTCTCATCACTTCTTCTTTTCATCTTCATTCCTCTCTCCACTCAACTCCTGATTCACTCACTCGACTCGCTTCAATCAACATCATTCACCAATCACTCCTCAACCACTTCAATTCATTCCTTCTTCTGTCTGGTGAGACTCCAATTCCTCAGTTGATGCTCTGCTTTATCCCACTGAGTCCTGAACTCCAAATGGAAAATAAAAAAAAGTAAAAAAAATAAGACAACTCCCATCCTCTTTAGGAGGATGGGGAAGACAATTCCAGGACTGTGGAGAGATGATCTGTTGAATTTCTGTCTCTTTCTTATTCCTAAAAACTCATTCCTCATTTGTCAATGTTTATACAAAATAATATACATGTTTTGACTATGTTTTGTCCTTGTCTGAGTGGCATCTTTTCTTTTGTCTAGTGCTGAAATCCCTGTAGTCTTTGAACCTGGGTCTAGTCTTTATCAACAAGAATTTGCTCCGGTCAATGTTTCTTACATGTTTAAAACTATTATTCATTTTTATATTCAATTTCTTCTCAAACCACATGTTGAACATCTTGTATGTAGACTACTTAACGACTAGTCTCTGCTACGTAAAAAAATCATTGGTTCTCTCCTTCATTTTTTGACCCTTTGAGCCATTCCAACAAAAATCAATTTTGCTGCCAACAATTTCTCCTTAAAAGTTTCCTCTTCTGCAGTCATGATTTCTTCATGGTCATTGGGATTTGTTTTTCCAAGTCCCTACATATATGGATATATGTAATATTTGGTGTGGGAGTTAATGATGAACTTTCTGGAGATTTCTTTTACAGAAATATACCTCAGAAATAAAGTATAAAGAATGACTAGGGTTAAGTGTGCTCAAACAGAGCCTCTGTACAGGGTTCAGATAGTATATACATCTTGGCAGGAAAATAAAACCTCAACATGAAATGTCCCACAGATGAAAATCAGGTTGTGGTGCTGGTTTCACAGTGGCTTCATATTTCTTTTTATGACTGTCTTGCCATTTACAATCAAATGTTGAACAGGGTCTGAATCCCTGTACATCTCCAAAACAAGGATTCACCTTCACTTGCATGTTTCAACTTTGATGGCTAGCTTGATCTTGTGAATTTCTCCCCTCATTTTGGCTCAAACATCCCCTACAATGTCAAGTTCATGTTTCTGTATCCAGTTTGGGGTTTGTACATAAATATGTGCCAAAACAAGAGCCATTTGTATCCAATGATACTTCAAAATCAACAGAAATTGTTTGGCCTGGGATTTCCCCCAAGTTAAGCTCCTCTTACAAGTTACAGACTCAGACATTATGTCATGCGCTGTGTCATTATCAAACCTATACCAGTCCTTTTACCAGAATGTTTTTACAATAGAAATAGGCTTAGAACTTCACCACACCTAAGGAAACTCCTGCAGCTCATCACAGCATATTGCATTTGTGCTTCTAGTCCTGACTTTCATTTCATAGAATGAAAAGAATAGTTTTGATTGCTTTGTACTGCTTTTCAGAAACTCAATGAATGTCTGAGTTTTCCTCTGAAACATCACAAACATGCAGTGAAGCAGGCAGAGATCTAAATGAATTTGGTACCAAATAATTTTTAACATCCCCATATTTTACTTCTAACCAATCAAGCTCATTCTTTTCATTTTTCATTCCCACACAAACCATCCTGCACAGATTCAAAGCCTGTCTTAGCTTCACACTGGAGCAGATTTGGTCCTGCCATTGGTGGAAACTCCCATGATATGGTCAGGCCAGACTATTCAAAATCAGAAGAAGAAGAGAAGGTTCTCAAGGTCATAGCTACTATTTGGGAACTGAGGGCCAAAAAAAGTGGCTTGGTGATAGATGGTAAGTGACAAAACTTGATTTTCAAGTAATGTCCAAGGCCAAAAGGAAATAAAATAAATGATTCTCTATATCCAAATATGCAGAATTCAGATACCCAGCCTCTGTAAAAGGAAGCCAAAGTCAGTATTTTTCTTTACTTTATTCTTCAATTAATGGAAAGAAAAACAAAGAATTGATATCTGAGGATTACTTCAGCCCTGATTGGGGCACTTTTGAAGGGATTGAAATCCATCAGGGAAAACTCACCGCCTTTTCAGAAGGCTTTCATGGAGACTGATCATCCCAAGAAAGAGTTCTTGGAAAATTTGGAAAAGGTTGATCAACTAATTTTGATTCATGTAAGACACAGGATTTCCTTTTTGAGTTCAGCACAAATCCAGTGTGATCTGAGCGCAAATAGAGAGCAAAAAACTATTGAATTCCCCGGAAACAAAATCTTATTCCATGGGAATATTATGAGGAACATTTATAAGGGTGGATCAGAATTGTATGTATTGATGGATGTTTATTCATGATTTTACTTGGCAGATTGTATATATCCTTTTGATTTTCAAAGCAGAGCATTTCAAACTGAAATGAAAACAACCCAATTTTTTTCTTCTTGAAAACAAATAAGCCTTGCCCCCACAGAAGGAAAAGAATTAAACCTTGGTAAGAATTATTTGGAAAGCTATTGTATGGATTATGGGAAAGGTTCTGATTGAGAGATAAAATCTAAATACCTTCCAGCTCATTGCAAGGATACAAAATCCTGGAAGGACATGACAAAAATCAGTTCTCAAGGATTTCTCAAAGAAAGATACCAGCACATGGATGAGTGTCAATGTGAAATGCGCAAGGCAACCACTGAATTGATGAAACAAATGAGTCTCTTGTCAGACAAACTATACCGGGGATTGATTGAAGATCCAGAATTCAACTTGAAATTCAAAACGGTTTTGTTCCAAGCCATGGGCCTCATGTACAAGCATGAGTTGATCACTGTCCAGGACTTGCAAGACTTTTTTGACAGACAAAAATTGAGATTTGCAGCATTGCACATGAATGAACAAAATCTCTGGAGTCTTACACGAGGTTATCAGGATCTCACTGAGTTCTGGTATCCCACATTGAAGAAAGGTGTTCATGACTGCTGGTATTATTCATATCTCAAGGACATCTTCCAAGGTAAAAGAGAATAACATCCAGTCAATTGTTTGCTTTTTTGATAATGATGATTGACTCTTCTTTTTTGGTGAATTTTTTTGGGGCTGAACATGAAGTTCTTGAGTATAAACAGAAAAAAACCCTTTCAAGACATCTTCTTGCTATGAAAGCCTCTCATTACTTGAATAAAGTCAATTGAAAATACAAGAATCACAAGTTTGAAGAAAATATGAATCACATGTGTAAATTGTTTGAATTGTTTGACCAGATGCACTACTTGACAGGGAGAAATGAAATACAATTAGAAAAGATTGAAGATGCTATTCAACAAGCAGTTTCAATCTTCATTCAATTACAAATCAGCCCATCAGGAGAAGGTGCTGTGGAATTGATCCTATTATCACAGTTCTTTGAATTTCTTGATGAATATCATGCAGATTATTTTTCACAATTCATTCACAAAGACACATCCTTCATTAGAAAACTCAACTTATTATCCACAAGCACCAATTTTCTTTCAGAAATAGACAAAATTTATATTTATCTATACCAAAATTACCATTCAGGTTTCTATGGGGAATGGACTAAGAACCCATCAATGGAAAACAAAAAGAAACCAGGAAAAGTTTTGAAACAACTTGGATATTTTTTAAACTATGTTGATATCTTGAAAGCTGAACATGACAAGATTGTTTGTTGGATTCTTCAACTTGATTCTATTGACAACTATTTCTTGCATGGGTATGTTGAAGGGAAAATCCACTTCTTACAAAAAGAGATGTCTCACATTCTTGAAATATATAAATGCAAGATTAATCCAGTACATGTGGATCAATTCATAAATCCTTGACCTGCTTACAAGCATGAGTTTTTAGTAGAGGTGATAATGCTGTTTTTTTTTTTTTACTTTCTCAAAACCCAAGCATTTTTTTTAATCATGAGTCCTACCCATCCAATTATTTCTTTCATCACATTGCTGGTGGCTGCAATACAATCTTGCAGCCCTTGGACCATCTCAACTCGGGCAGGTAAACTGCGGTGGTAAGCCAAATTTACCCCCCCAAGCTCAAAAAACCCCTGCCACCGGGGGTGCTAAAGAGGAGGTAAATGTAGTTTTCCCCCCCTTGTGAGGTATAGCATTGCTAGATGTGCAATTGCTATACCAACCCATGTACCTCCCCAACCCAATGGTTTCACAGGTCAATCCTGGTGAAATCCAGATCCTCCTCCCCTATTGGGTGGCCTTTCACACACAACACACCTACTTGATCACCCTGCGGTGGAAAATCAAGTTTCACCAGGTTGCTATAGGCGCACCGCAGTCAAAGAGTTTGTAAATTTAACAACTGAAACAACCCTTTGGGGTGGAGATGGTCTTATAAATCTTTTTATGCATTTTTGTTATTTTATACACCCTCTGAACACCCTTTTGGATCTTCAAATTTGACTGGACCCTTAGGCCAACAAGATGCCCAGTCTTGAAGGAAATTCAAGCCCATTAGTTTACCAACCAGGACAGCAGGTTTTTGGGTCGCTTGTTGTAATTGAGATGCACGCTATGTATGTGGACTGCTTGAGGGTCCGGCCAATGTCCCATGTTGGGCTTGAGTTGAGCTTTGGACCAGCCTGTGATCCGCTTGTCCGCGGTTCGAGTCATTTTAAGAATCCCAGGCCGGATCCAACATGGCCAAGCACGCGGGTCATTCAAAGAGTACATAAGAGCATCTCCACCGCAGGGGACTACCTCAGTCCCTAAATTTCCCTAAATTTCGACCTCGCGCAACTGCGGCGCATATTTTAGCTCCTTGCCTAAATTTTCTTTTGTACCGCAGAGTCTTAAAGTAGCACCTTGGGGCTGTGAAAGGGTATCCCCCCGATTCCCCCTACATCATGATCCATTTGGAATCACAAACCAGCACACCCCAGAAACCTTGTCTATCTACAACATACAAACAATCAACATGGACGAAGATGCTGTAATACTTCAAATGATCTTACGGCGAAGGCAAGCTGCAGCAAGGTTCAGAACATCAATCAATGCAATGCTTGAAATTACACCAATGCTCCTTGATGACGATGAAGACGAAATTGAATTGCCATCGCATGGCGGTTCACATCCAGGAAAACAACCCAACCGGCCTCGCGACTTTGAAGGCAGCTACAACAAGCTTATGCAGCATTACTTCTCTGCACAGCCACTCTACAATGAAGAAATCTTCCGACGCCGTTTCCGAATGGGAATCTGTCGGTTGAACCGCGCCGTCCCATCATTCAACTCGAGACCCTTAACCCTCGTCTTGAACGCACAATTGATTCGTATCGAAAGTACCGAGACCGTTGCCTTACAATCCAAACATCGGGCCATTCAGCGAAAAAGCCCGCCACACGGGATCCCCTGATCGGTGGCCGTTTCAGTTCCTCTTTACGCTTGTGGACGGACAGGGCAAGCTAGACGGGGATTCGAGGCGCTGAATCCGTAACAAGGATGATTGCTTGATCCGCAATTAATATAGGGATGTCCACCGTTCGCGTACACTGACGACGCGACATCAGAATCCAGGACAAGGGCAAGGCTTTCGACGAACCGTCTAGGAAGACGACCCCTCCCCAGTCACCTGCCGACTGAACCTCCGCGTCGTCAGATTCAAGTGCTTCGCCTTGAGGACGGCGAGGGATTCGCCCAGAAGCTCAGTTCAGTGGCCGATGAAGAGCGAGGTGTTATTTGGCGAGAAAAATCCGGTGACAATTGGAATGGATTAAGTTTCACGAAGATTGCCCCTGCTGCGAAAACGCTCTCTACGTGATCACGGAATTCGATGTCTCGCTTCGTCGCTTCGAGGATTCCGAAGCTATCCAAAGCTACGAACAATCAAGTACGCCAAGACCGGCGACAGACCCTCCATACTCCGTGTTGATCCAATTCAATCGATATGAAGATACTCAACGGACTTACTTCAACGGATGGCGTCCCGACCGATGCTCGTAGGATCGACGTTGATTCCCTCCAACCTGTTTCAAAAACGGGTGAGTGGACTATTCATAAGTCAAACTAAATAATACTCATCATTTAAGAGGCTCAATCAGGCCTTATATATCATGACGTTTCAGATGACCGGAAAAAGGAGTCAAGCCGAACCAGGCTTCAAGAAAAGTCGGCCAGCCGAAAGATCTCCTGGGGCCCCACAAATGTCCGACTGCGAGATGATTTTGGATGAGGTTCGAGCGGAGAGAACTCTGCGACCGGTAATCTAGCCATCAATGACACCCTCCATATTCCCCCGAGACCACAGACCTCCTCAACGTCCAGACTCAAGACCCCATCATGAGTAGACATACGGTCAGAATGTAGCCTACCCGCAGGCGCACAGCCTCCTGTTCATACGTGTTTCTCCAAGACAGCTGGACATCATTCCTCGAAAACACTGGATCCTGATCTATGCCCATGGTCATCAAAAGCTACCAGTGACTGACAACCACATTGTATCAAGATTATCTTGGACATACGAACACTGATGTCATAGATGCTTACACAGACAGTTACACCCAGGTTTTTCGTCCAAGTGTGAGGATGAGGTTTACCCAACTTTGGAGGACAAAACAACTATCTCCAATACGATGTCTGTTTGTGATAAGATAGCTGCAAACAAGCGCAAAAGATCGATCACTGCATATAGTAATATACCTACTTTCGTGGGAAATACGCCTGAGCGCAGCATGTATGTGAATTCATGCGGACACAGCCCTAGGAAGAGACGCCTTTAAGGCTCAATCTTTAAGTAGTAGTACGGTCTGAGGAGCCAACTTCTGCCTCTTGCTGGTAGGGGTACATGGCTCTAAAACTTCAACAAAACTTTCTTGGGTCTTGGCACGCTGCCCGCCTATCTGATTAGCATATGCATTTATGTGAATTGCCTTTGTCTGAAGCGTGATGTGGGGCTTTGCAGGTTGGGGTTTTCACTAAAGCTATGTAAGGTTCTCAGTCAATCCAAACTACTTGAAGATTGATTACCAGATAAACACACACACGCATCCCGCCTGCTTGAGAGACACAAGTGCCCCCCCCCCCTGCCGTTTCTTGCCTCTAGAATCACAAGAAACGAAAGGAATCTCGATTTTAAGAAGATATGATGGATATATTTGCAAGCTACTTGAAACGTTGGGAAGCTGTGTCAATGTGAAGCGTCCAAGACTCAAAACCTTCGAAGATAGGTTGCCATTCCGACCGACAATAAGGAGTCTCTTACAGCACTGTTGATCGATATATTATGGGCCGGGATTGGCTGTGCTTAGGTGGAAATTCTAAACCCGAAAGGAAAAACAATGGTCCCGTCTATTATGGTTTGCACAGACGAGCGCGAAAGGAAGATGCGGCCGCGGTTGTACTCGTGAGTGAGTGACTGAAGAGTGATGGATCAACACATCCAGGGTTTGCTGCTGGTCAGGCAAAGTTGGCGAAGCTGCAGTCGAGTGTACTCCTCGATCATCATCGGTGCCATTGTCAGAGCTGGGTCTCTCTCTCTCCTCGGCCTATGTAGGAACCGGATTAAAATTTGACTTTTCGAAGGAGGGAAAAGCAACTACATAGTGCCGCCGAAGGCTACGTATACGCTTGAAGCAGACTCGCTGGCTGGCCTCTCTTCGGAACTCCAAGGCCGTCTTATTCCAAGACAGTCTATCCCATCGATCAGATCAGTCAGCAGCTGTTATGTGTAGAAACTCCGGGTGTGGAAACCGAAACCGGAGACAACCTCGTGCATTTCTTTTTAACCTTTTGACTGGCCATGCGCCATGTCTTTTTTTGTTGTTTTTTGGTACAAGTGCTTATTTATGTACATATTCATAGCTTTTCCTGGGCAAGCTTCTTCTTCAAGTGCTACAATGACGGGGGGTGCCTGCGGCCATGATTCTTGCCATTGTTATCAACTTATCGATGACGCTGATGCAGAAACTGTATCTCTTTATACGCTGAATCGATGGGTTGTTGTATCGGAGGAGCCGACGGGTCCGACGAACACATGGAAAGAAGGAGGAAAAAAAAAAAAAAAACACCAACGAACTCAACCAGCCTCGCAAGTTTACCGCCCATCCGCTCAAGAAAAAAGACAGCTTGGAGCGTTGCATCTATCGGTCGTACATTGCTTGGCTATCCGACGGCTGACTGAGCACAGCGATGCTATTCCCCCCAGTTCCGCTTTCCCCAAGCGCCCATGAATATATTTCGTACAGTCTTAATTGAGCTTCCTGGGCCATGCCTCATACAAACCCGCTATATAAATCTCATAGGACTTGCAGTATCATCTTCAAGAAAATTTATGGGGCAACTGAAAGGTGTTCTTCCGTGCTCACTGGCCAGGTTACATACATCATCATCCTTGATCAACATAAAACCAGAATCGCTGTATCTCTTCTGAAACCCCTATCTCTGGATCATACGTATTATATTTTAAATCTCAAGAATGATTTCCACTGAGCAATTCAGCCCAAGATTCCAGAATTATCACCAACCAAAGCCGTACCTCGGCGAGGTGCACAGAGAAGTGGAGATTCAAAAAGGTAAGAGAGTCCCATCTTGTGTGTGTGTGTGTTCTGATAGCTAAAGAATGTAGATTCCTGATTTGGGAAGTGAAAGCTGACGCACCGGGACGCCGAACTTGGATTGCAGATCCTCAGCCAGGACGCGCTATCAAGGCGATCGGGAATAGAGTGGATGACTTGATCCGTTCCTTAGAGCTCCAGAGCTTCCCGTCTGAGATCGCTAAGTACCAATTGGCCAGCCAGGATAAGTGGGAGGCTCTTCACCAGGTTGGAAGCAGCGAAGACTCTCGTTCGGAAGGCGGGATGAACGGGAGGAATCTACATCGATTCCTTCTGTCTGATGTAAATTTCTACTTCTTGTCACTCCATCCTTTTCAATCTCAAAATCGGTGCAATTACATAGTCCCCCGTTTTTGACTTTTTTTTTCTTCCTTATGCTTTGTTCAGTGTCGCCAGTTCTTGTCGTCCGACTTGATGGCCGAGCAGAGCTTCAAGTCATTAGAAACCAAGCTGGGGATATGGGGGGAGGAAGATGGACCACGAAATCTGCCGATACTTTTGGCGCGGATTCCGGAGACAAAGCAAGCGGAACAGTGTTTAGAAGCGTACCATCAGAGCTGCGGATGGATCCATCGGCTATTCCATTGGCCTTCCTTTTGCGCCAAAGCTTCCCAAATGCTTTCCCGCAAGCACCGGCTTTCGTACTGCAACCAGCCCGACATACATTGGCTGGCCATGCTCTTTGCGGCGTGTGGACTCGGCCTTTGGGCCGCTCACTCTACCGATCCCGAGCAGTCTCAAGAAAACGGCCTTCCGAGAACCAAACAGGGGCAACGGAGACTAGCTTTGAGTTGGCTGAGGTGCGCATCCAGTGCACTGGTGCTTGGGCGTGAGTGGAATCTTAGTACCATTCGATTCTCAACTTCTTAACTCATGCCCTAAAATATCTTCGACCCTCCTCAATCTTACTTTTAGAACACGATCAAGATCCTTCTTTGGATTCCCTACGAGCAATGTCGCTGTTGTTGTGTTTTCCACTGTGAGTCAGCCGAAGTTCTCTTTCTAGACCAATGTGATATATGAGATATAAATTTTTCTGATTGTTCTCGGGGAAAAAGTTATTTTTCAGTGAGTTGATTGTCTATGACCGAAGAGGAAGCCTCGTTCAAACCAGGATTTCATGCTTGTTGTGCTTCAGGATGACCCATCAATGGAAGGCGCGATGGAAATGATCATGCAAACCATCCACCTAGCTCGACAGCTCAACTTGGTAAGACAGCCTTCCCCCCCCAAAAAACCGTCCATTCTGGCGACAACATTCTGACCTTCTTATCACGCCGGAACCAGGACGTGGATCCGGACGAACTTCCTTGCAGCCACATGCTCCAGAGCGAGAAGACTAAAGACGAACGACGAAGGTTTATGGTGGCGATCTTGTGTCAAGAGTTTCAATTGGGCGGCTTGTTTTGCAAGAAATCGTACTTCGAGCCGCCCACTCAGTTCACTCTCAAGATGCCGAACCACCTCTACGATGAAGAATACTGGCCCCAAGGAGCTCATAGCTCTATAGCCGATTGTGATGGCATCTTATCTAAGAGCTCCGCTGAAGCTCACCGACCCACTGAGCTGGATGGGGTTGTATCCCGTTACAAAATCGGCCAGATATGGCAATTGATAGGGATCAGCTTCAGGTCCGTACTACTACGTCTTTTCCTTGTTTTGTAACACAGCTTAAACAATCGTACACCCCATCCGCTTTCTTGGGGCCAAAAACAGCGAGCATGCGGGTCCACCAGCCCATGGCCGTGTCTTGGACCTTGATCAACAACTGCTGGATGTCGAGAAGGGATTCCCATCTACTCTTCAAACAACGTTCGAGCCTCACCGGTGTGTTCTTGAGCCTCTGCCGACCCGAGGGACGATGGCCGACATGGATCGGCTCGCATCTCATCTCGTCCTGGCTAGTGCACATGTCCGACTTCATCGGCCTTTTGTCATTCCTCGTCAAGGGGTCTCAGAGGCTCATCGAGAATCCCATCGGAGAAGGATCTTACATTACGGACGTCAGTTCCCTTTTTTTTTTTTTTTTTTGGATCCTGCTTTCAATCATCCTCTAACTCACAGAGGTGTGGCGCAACTTTTTCTTCAACAGGGCTTATCCTGGCCGTCCACGAATCCGACCATCTTCCCCTCCTCAAGCATGGTCAGTCTATCTGCTCTCCAACTCTGCATTCCTGTCAAGAACTTCTCATCCTAATGAAGTAGAAAAAAAAAACTGATCAGAAATTCGATCCGGTTCATCAACAAAAAAGTCTCGATGAGTTTGTTTGTGCTTGCAGCCAGCATCGCGCTTTCGGTCCTGTTAATCACGCCCACAGGTCCATCAGAAGATTTACGGAGCCTGCGGCAACAAATCTATCAAGTTTATAGCGCCTATCAAAACACCTCTGTATGCTCTTCTTGAACTCGCTCGAAACGGGTTTCCTTCCTTTTGTCCACCAAAACTGACGACTTTCTTTTTTTTTGCCCTCTCAGCATCAGAACAGCATGCTTTGGAGTCGCAGCTTCAAATTGCTCGGGCTGCTCTTGGAGACCGATAAGAAGATCCTGCTCAATCCGGAATACAAAATCAATCTCGCCCTCTTAGAAACCTTGTTGCAATGATTACTCATCATTCAAATACTTACGATTCTAAACCTAATAGATACAAATACTATATATAGATGTAACATTATTGTACTAATAACTCTGTCTTCAATATTCGCGTGATTTCTAGTAATAATAATATAAACATGAGCAACACTTGAAAAACAAAAATATATCTCCTAGCACAGATTCATGAGTTTTGAAAGGAAGAATCTTAATCACTCAATACATGTATCTTATTGAACACAATAGCTGGCCTTTTTCTAATCGGACTGACAAAAGCTACCATCTCTTTTTTTTGCATGAAATGTTCCTTAGTTTTTTTTTCCCAAAGAATGATAAACATAAAAATCCAACTCAGTGTGCATTTCAGAATCATGGCATTGTGTTGACCATTTTGCTCGGCTATTTCTTGGCCCTCCTGGGACCACATTTTAGCTAGGAATATTTTACAAGTTGTATTCCCAAAACCTATTCCTGAGGGGTGAGTTGCATAAAAGAGATGGGATCATTCTCTCAAACCTGTCCATTTGGGAGCCGGCTCAAGAGGAGTCTTCCGTGGCCAGAAGCAACAGTGAACCAATAAAATACATAGAATCTATTGGAAATGTACCATGTGGAATTCTGTGAAGATAAATGGCCAAAGACCACTTTTGTTGCAAGGCACTCCCAGGATATTAACATTAGTCAATTAATTTTTTTATTGAGATAATACTTAAAGTGATTCACTCCCAGATGGCCATTTTTTATTGTGGAAAGTAATGATTGGCTCATATGTATCATCATCTTCTCTGGCACATTTTCTCAAGAAGATAGCACACAGCAACGGTGCAACAGATACAAGACATGTATTTGTATTGGATTGTATCATCTTTATTTTGATCCTGATACTGGTATCAGTATTTTCTTGGTTGGTGAAAAAATTTATTGTCTCGGATTCGGATTTACAAATGAAACAAATGTCTTTGTTTTTTTTTTTCTTTTTTCTTCAATACGGCCAAATATCTTGTGTATCAAATACGGTTTTGGTGGGATCAGTCATCTGAGAGGATACAGAATACATGTCTCACTTTTCAAAGACGATACATGTGTATTTCTCAGGAAAGTGAGACAACACAAATCCGGTATTTTTGGGTATTCAATTTCTGAGACGATACAAATAAACGCCTGACACTGTCTCCTATCGTCTCTGTTGCACTGTTGCACACAGCCCAGAGGCTTTTTCAACACAACAAGGTCGCATGAAGGGTATAGATACAATGACACACTACAGGGAAAATCTGTTTCTGGATAAAATGATATGTGAGGCTGGAAAGCCCATTGCAACTATCAGCACCAGGCAGTTATTTTTTCCATAAATCGATTGATTTTATTTGCAAATACTCATTTTTTACTGTTAATCATCATCAAAATTGGCACAGCAGAGTTTTCTCTTTGGTGTTTCATGGAGGTAAATTCAAGTTTTTTTTTTTTTAATCCAACTAGATTCAATGTGTTAAAATATTGGAAGAAAACATTACATATTCATAATGAATGATTCAAATGATGATGAAATAATAAGAATGCAGACTAGTGATACAAAAATTTTCAATCAGGAGACATAGGAATATTATTTATTCAGGATGGTCATCAGTTCTTCTTTTGTTTTACTTGTGTAGTCTGACCATTCTGGAAAGATTTTGTGGGTTGTCCATTTCCTGTGGGATTTACAGTTTGCCCATGTTGTCCCGCTTTTCCAGAATCTCCACTGCCAGTTTGTCCAGATTTTCCAGTCTCTCCAGATCTTACATTTGATCCAGTTGGTCCAGTCTTTCCACCCGATCCTGTTTGGAAAGTTGCTCCAGTTTGGCCAGTTGCTACAGTTTGTGAAGTTGCTACATTTTGTGAAGTTGCTCCATTATGTGCAGTGTCTCCATTTGGTACAGTTACTCCATTTGTTCCAGTTGATTTATTTGTACCAGTTAATCCAGAGGTTCCAGCCAGTGCAGTTGTTCCAGTTGATCCAGGTTTTTCATTGAATCCAGTTTTGTCATTTAATGTGGTTTTGTCCTTTAACACAGTTTTGTCATTTAATGAAGTTTTGTCATTTAATGAGGTTTTGTCATTCAATGCAGTTTTGTCATTTAATGAGGTTTTGTCATTTGATGCAGTTTTTTCATTTAATGATACAGTTACACCATTTGATCCAGTTGTTCCAATTGATGTAGTTGTTCCATTTAACAAATTCTTTCCAGTCAATGCAGTTTCTCCAGCTAATGAAGTTCCTCCATTCAATCCAGTTGTTTCACTTGATCCGGTTTGTCCGTTTAATCCATTTTTTCCAGTTAATGTGGCTGTTGTAGTTGATCTGGTTGATCCACTTGTTCCATTTAACACAGTTGATCCATCTAATCCAGATGTTCCAGTCAATGCAGTTGTTCCAATTTGTCCTGTTTGTCCAGTTAATCCATTTCTTCCAGCTGTCACATTCAATCCAGTTGTTGAATTTGATCCATTGTTTCCAGTCAAGTCAGTTGTTCCAGTCAATGTGGCTGTTGAAGTTGATCCAGTTGATCCACTCAATCCATTTGTTCCATTGAACACAGTTGTCCCACTTAATCCAGATGATGTTCCATTTAACCCAATTGTTCCAGTCAATCCAGATGTTCCAGCCAATGAAGTCAATCCAGTTTGTCCAGTTGAACCAGTTGTTCCATTTAATCCATTTGTTGCATTTAATCCAGATGTTCCATTTAACCCAGTTGTCCCAGTCAATGAAGTCAATCCAGTTTGTGCCGTTGATACAGGTGTTCCATTTGATCCTGTTGTCACATTCAATCCATTTGTTCCATTTAACCCAGTTGTTCCAGTCAATCCAGATGTCCCAGTCAATCCAGATGTTCCATTTAATCCAGTTGTTCCAGTTATTCCAGTTGTTCCATTCAATCCAGTTGTTCCGTTCAATCCAGTCAATTCAACTGTTCCATTGAATCCAGTTGTTCCATTGAATCCAATTGTCCCATTGAATCCAGTTGTCCCATTGAATCCAGTCGTTCCATTTAATCCAGTAGTCTCATTTAATCCAGTTTGTCCAGTCAATCCAGGTGGTGGAGGGATTCCAGTGGTCTCATTTAAACCAGGTGGCCCAGTCAATCCAGGTGGTCCAGTTAAACCAGGTGGTCCAGTTAAGCCAGGTGGTCCAGTTAAGCCAGGTGGTCCAGTTAAGCCAGGTGGTCCAGCCAATCCAGGAATAAATTCAGGTGGTCCATTTAGTCCTGGTGTTAATCCAGGTGGTAGAGTCAATCCAGGTGGTCCAGTAACTCCAGTTGGCTCAGTTGGTGCAGGCTGTCCATTTTGCCCTGGCTGATTTTGGATGTTTGGGATATCTTGACCAGTTTGTCCAGTTTGTCCACCAGTTTGTCCATTTTGGTCAGTTTGTCCAGTTTGTCCACCAGTTTGTCCATTTTGGTCAGTTTGTCCAGTTTGTCCAGTTTGTCCGGTTTGTCCATTTTGACCAGTTTGACCAGTTGTACCAGTTTGACCAGTTTGACCAGTTTGACCAGTTTGACCATTTTGGTCAGTTTGTCCAGTTTGTCCAGTTTGTCCATTTTGTCCAGTTAGTCCAATAGGCCCATTTTGTAGCTGTGTATTTTGATCAACCTGGTTTGTTTGATTATTTGCTCCATTCTGATCCTGTACATTCCCATTATTGTTTCCGGAATTTTGGCCTGCTTGTTGTGAATTGGCAAGGTTTTTGCAAGCCTCGAGTTGGAGAGTACATTCTTTTGTCTCAGATTGGCCCTTCCTGTTGAAGAAATCTGCACATCGATTGGACTGTCGGTCACATGACCGTATGATGGCATCTATTGATTGTCTGAACGTCTCATCGGCTGGACCGAACCTAGGGAAAAAAATGTGTTTGTGTAAGGAAATATATTAGTCAGGCTAGATCAAAAATAAAAGGTATCTGGTTGGGAATTTACTGACTCGACAACAAAAATGTCCCCTTGCTTTGTCACCTTAGGGGCCCGGGATCCAAGTGTTCCATTGAACTTTTTATGGAGTATTCAAATCATGTCAGAATGAATTGAAGTATCAAAATTGAAGCAGATCTCACTTACTGTTTGAAGATTTCCTGTTTGGTCTTGCCTGGCTACTAGCTTGTTAAAATTTCTTGCTCGCAAGTTGTTGGAATGAGGATTCACGCCATTCGAGATGATTGCACCATGAGAATCAGAAAAGTTGATACTCAAAAGGAGTAGCCCAATGAACAGCTTCATTCTTATGTGAAAAATAGGTTGTCTGTTTCAGATAAACGGTATAAATAGATAATTTGAAAATTAAAAAAAATTCAATGGAGATAATTAAAGCTGGCAATATCTTATTCTTAGATTGAAGAAAAATTCCTGCTGGCAGGTCCGAGGTCAAGAGTCAATAAATGAAAAGAAACACCGGGTTTCTTTTTTCTTATGGCGCTGTAAGAGAGACTACTGGAGTGCTGACTGAAAACGGGTGAGGAAAGCCTCCATTAAATATTGCAAGGCGCTCATGAAGCGGTATCTGAAACTTCAAGCTGCACCCCCTTGAAAAGAAATGAACTCGGTCAAGTGGGATTATGAAGCTTGCCAGTATGTAACATAGCAATCCTGAGCGATTTTGATATCGGTGATTTAAAATTTTGAAGGCACAACCACAATTGAACGAAATTGATATGGCGAGTTCAGGAACCAAGGTCCCGGTGATTCAGTTCAAAATGCTTGCTTCTCCACACCGGCGGCATAATGAAAGGTGAGATGAATGAGGACAACAAAAACGTGCTCAGAGTCAAAAATATCATCCAACTTGGTAACCTATTGAAAGGCACATAAACAAGTTGAGATTCCTATTGACCGGTCATGACTCATGTTGAGGTTACCATTGACCGGTGATTGCCCAGGTTAAGTTGATCGGTGACCTGTCACGTGGCAATTCGAGGTTGCCATTTCATTGACCGGTTATGGCCTGTTATGGCCCATTCTTTTAAGGTTACCATTGAAAGCTCGTGACACATGGTCCAGTTACAATTCAAATCGTTCAAAATTAAAATCGGATTTCTCAGAGCTTGATCACTACGGTATGAAGTGGTCGGCCGAGCCGGTCCACTCAGATGGCTGTGGGCGACCGGTTCGTCTGACCATAGCAGATTTCAACATCAGGAAGAAAACAAGACGTCCTCACTGCCAACGATCCTCTGTGAACACTTCAACATTTCAACTCGGATCCTTCCTTGATTGATTCGTTCATGAAACTAAGAAACACTCGAGAGACTTTACAACAGCCTTCGTGTGTCAATCCGGGACCAGATTCCATCTTTGCTTATCAGTTGAGAGGTTCTGCAATGTTGCCAATATACCGCGGCTGTTGCGGTCAATTACAACCACGTTCACAGTCGCTTCATTTCTGGGTAAGGGGAGAACACCGCAATGGATGATCGGATTCCGAACAACACATTTGTCTCCTTTGGCACTTGGAGAAACACTACCAACTGTCTGAGGATACAGACCTTAACTTTCAATTTGCCTACAGAAATTCCCCTATCTAAGCAAGGAAAAAATCAACAACACAATGCACCCATGCCCGCCATGGATTATGCAGTGGGATTAGAAAGCCTGGATGCAATCAACATTTCGACAGAAAATTGAAAGTTACATGTATCTATTATCTCAGCTGTTTTGATGGGTTATTTGATTGAGGTGTGCATCTGCTGTCTGTTCCATTCTTTGTTTTGATCCTTTGCCACTCAAGTCCATACATCCCGGTAATTTTGACCATCATCAAAGTGTTTTTCTGCTAAGTATTTTCTTTCTATACGAAGGAAGTTCTTTCAAACTTGCCCAAACTTGCTCATAAGCTTCTGCATAGTATGAAATTGGTACTAAAGATGAAACCTTTGAAAAGATTTTTGAAAATTTCTGAATAAAGTTTGGGGAGAAAATTTTTCAAGGGTCCTATTCTAATGGAAAATAAAACACATGTTTTAATTCTAGTTTTCACTTTATCTCATATAATGGGGCAGTTCTTTCAGAGAATGTAAGCCTTTATAACGAGTACTTGACATCAACTTCAAGGGTGAGAGTTGGAGTCACTGTTCACTATGTACCCCAAGCTTAAAACATCCACAGATCATAAAGGCTGGGGAGTAAAATCAGGAATGAGATAGACGCAACACTGGGAAATAATAAACTATAAATTCATGACAAGCTTTGGAGTAACCGGGGTAGCCCGGTCGAAGGCATTTGGGGGTCTTGGGATGCTTCCTTTGATGGTGCTGGGCCAAGTCAGTAGATGAGACAGCATGCCCAAGCTTGTCATCAATCGCCAGACCATTGTGTGTGCTGAGTAGTGTGGCCATGGCTGTTTGATCAGTCAAGGGGAGATGATGAGATTGTTGTGGCGGGTGCTCTACTGGTGCGCTGGGGAGAAGCGCCAATGATGTACTAGGATGTAGATCACCGAGCTTAACATAAGCCTCGCGATCGGAGGGTCCCGAAGGGACCCCGCGTCCGAAGGGACGCTCTCCAAAGGAGAGGCTTACCTCCAAAGCCCCTCCGATGACTCAAGGTAAATGAGATTTCTGCGAAAAAAACGCTTATTTTGCCTTCGAAAATTATTTAAAAATGTACTTTTCAACTTTTCGTAATTCTGAGTAGGCAGAATTGTACTTTATCGTCTCAGCTCTCAGACCGATCCTTTTTGTAATTTTTTGCCTTAAAACCATTGTCTCTCCGATGTTTTTAGCTGGTGATGATCTGAATTTTGCCAAGATCCAATTCGGATCCGACTTCATCAGATCGTGGACCCTCTCACGGGTTCCTGTCGGATTCTGCGCAATTGCATAGTATCCGGTTTTCAATAGTGAGTGTTTGTATTGGCAGGCATTAGATCTCTCAGCGTTCAAATGCCTCACCATCGCTTAAGTATAAGAGTATTTTTAGATGATGTGTAATGAAAAAAACTCATGTGACATTATCTCACATACTATGCTTCACCGAATTACACATTCATGACCGGATCTTTTGGTGGAAAATCCGGCTTTGAAAAAGCCGGATTGTTTACAGATAGTTTCCACAGCCCCAACTTTACAGGACAATTCTCAGGAACAGGAACAGATATTGAAGATTTGGAGGATACAATAATTATCCTGTAAGCCTTGCGATTTCAATGGTACCAGAGGCGGGATGGGTAAATGAGTGCTAGTGGGTGCTATCGGGGAGGGGGAGCTACTCACAGCCAATTGGCTGGACTCTGTAGGGTGAGACTTGCCACTTTCGATGCAAGTCCCTCCTTCGGAGGTCGCTACGCGACCTCCTCGGAGGGACCTTGTGTTAAGTTCGGTAGATCACCAAGTCCAACGGTCAACAACACACCACGATCAACTATACTGGGACACAACAACAACAACGAACAACCCAAGAAGTTATCTGATGGCATCTACTGGCTACACTCTGGCCCATCCAGCCGATCTCGATGGCGAGACTAGCTATACCTTCAGTCAGTCATTTGCTCATCCTCAAAACACTAGGGCCAGTTCAACTGTAGCTTACTGGAACACTTCAAAATCACCCATCTTGATGAATCAGCCTGTGGAAAGATAGACGCCGGGGTACGTGGCTGACTCTGCTCTACCGAGATGATTCTTGAAAAGACCCTCACCAAAGAAGACAACAAGACTGATTCATCTCCATACCCTTTGTGTATCAGATCGCGGTTCTTATCGGATCTCATGCCCATTTGATCGAATTCCCATCGTTACTTCTGCCTCCTGGTTGTGAGCCCGGATCAATCGTCAGCATCACCTGCACGCGTGATAATGCAGCCGAAAAAGCGCAAGCGGACTCGTTTTGGGATCTACAGACCAAGATCGTCGATCAGTTCGGAGTCCAATCACCTCAACCCCCCAACCTCCGATTGAGATCAATCACTCAGACCTCAGTGACACTTGAATGGGATAAACTAGAGCTGGCCCAGTGTAAACTGCTTTCGCTATCGATTTGGAAGAACGGTCAACGTCTTGGAACCCTGCCCAATCCACTCAATAATACTTCAACCAAGCTTTCAGGATTAGATCTCGATAGCGAGTACACCTTCCATCTAGTCATGAAAACCACCGGCGGCTCATTCAATTCTCAACAGATCAAAGTCAAGACTCATTCACTCAACGATACATCCGGAATCAATGTCTGTTTTGGGGTGATCGTACCTGAAGAGCTCAAGGATCAGTCCAAGGAAGCTATCCAACAACTTGATGGCAGATGGTCTGATAAGATTCAAATCGACACCACCCATTTCGTATGTACGATGCCATACCAGCCACAGCATGGACCCAACAAATCCGCCCAGCCCAACACCTTTCCTTCTCTTGAATATCAACGCGCCCTCCAGCTATCGATCCCAGTCGTCCAACCCTCTTGGCTGCAAGCATGTTTACATGAACGAAAAATGGTCCCCATTGCTGCTCATTATCTTGGGGCTCAGCCACCTCCCCTGGGCTCTTCACCAACGACCATCCCCTCGGCCGGCCCTAGCGGCCGTCCAAGGGCAGCTAGCAAGTCTAACATCCATTCTTCAACTCCGATCTCACCCTCAAATACTGCCGAAGCCAACTCCAGTTCGCCTGGCCCTTCAGGAGCATCTAGTCGACAACATGAGCGTGCCAACTCAGCTCCTACGATTACGACCATCTCTGACAGTGGCAGACTTCATGACCAGATTGAAAAACCATCCGCTGGTCTTGCAGTGATCATAGAAAGCAAAGATGGCGATGAGGTTACAAGTCATAAGGCCAATGGAAATATGGAGGGAACCTCTTACAATCCTGATCAATCAGCATCATCTCGTCATGTGCGGACAGAATCTGACTCGGAGAAAACGCTGAAACTTTCAACCTCTGATCAGTTTCCACAAGACCAGCCCCATGTGCCCACCCCGCCCAAATTCTCGGCAGCTCTATCCGATATCTTGAAGGAGAATGTCGATTCGCCTGCAGAGAATGATAGCAGTCCCTCGGGGCACAAGCCCATGGAATTTCCGAATCCGATGTCCCACATTTTATCCGATCGACCAGAATCAACGCCGAATGGGGATGATAAAGGGGCCGAAGAGGAGGCCGAGCCCAGATCGACCCATCCCACCTCGAGCCCGCCCAATAATAAGCTGCCCGGTCAGACGAGCGGATTGGCCGAGCAAAGCCAGCCGAGTCGGGGGATCGTCGACGACGGCGAAGACGACCCGTTCTCCGCCGCAAGTCCGACGATCTCTAACCCGTCGCCGCTCGGCGATCGGCCGAGCTTCAGCCGATCCAACTCGCTCAACCACGGCAACTTCGGAGGCCTGCTTTCTCCCGCTAGCAATCACTTGTCGCCCGTCATCGGACCTTCCACTGGGCCCGCTCCGTCCGCCGGCAGCGACGAGAATCGGGCAACGATGATACCTGATCAGCCGTTGGAGGAAAAGCAAGAGATTCCTGAGGTCGACCGGTCTGTCGGCCGGGACCAACCAGCAGCCCCTTCACCTCCCTCGCCCACCGCTCTGGACTCACTTGCATCTCCTTCAAAGACCATTGGAGAGAATAAGCCTCATGCTAATGGAGGCAGTAGTAGTGAGGTCTTCGACGAGATCTCGATTGGCTCAGACTCCAATCAATTGCCCGATGATGAGGACCACGAGGTGTCGGACTCCAAAGGAGAATCCGGTTCCGGTGACACCTTCTTCTCTACCGCTTCCGTCCCCCTACAGCCTTCTCACCCTGATCCTACCCTTCATTCAGACCTCATTCAGCCCCACAATCCCGCCCTGCTTTCCGATCTTGTCCACCCGAATCTGCAGCAGCAGCACCAGCCTACCGATCTCATCACGTCGGATCTCGTCGAACATTCTTCGCCTTCTTCTTCGCCTCCCCCTCCTAATCATCTTGCCGATTGATCCTCTTTTTTTTAATTTTTCAGTGTCTTCTTTTTTTTCCTTACTAAACATTTTTGGGCTATTTCTTCTTCCTTTTTCTGTCTCTCCTTCTCTCTCTTTTTTATTGAAACTTAATGGTGTCTGAATACAATACAATATTATACAACATATCTATATATCGATATATTGATAGATTATAAATATGCATCCGGCTTATTTTTCCTTCTCCCTTCTCCCTTCGTTGATGTAAAGTCGTTAATTCAAATACATTAATTTATTCTTATACCTTCCTTCGTTCATCTTTTGTTAAAAAGAAAGACCGTTTATTTATTTGTAAATGACTTTTTTTATGAGAAATTATTGAGATGTTGAAATCAAGAACTATCAGTGATTTATTTGACCGTACGTCTCCAATATTTTATATCGGGATGTCGGACGTGCTTGTGAAGAAGACACGGTTTCTTGAAGGATTTGTGTCAAGACCACGGTTTGTTTTCTTGAAACTCATATGATGACGAGCTTTGAATGAACCCGAGTATTGCATAACCTGGGATGGTCAAATCAACACTCCAAACTACAGCCCATTTCTGTTCCGAGTTTTTTGTTTCATGTAGTGGGATGAGATGGGGCTCGGAAAAAAAGGGTGAGAGGGAGTCGAATCGAGCGGGGGCTTGGGGCAACTGCTATTTTTTAGACTCCGCTCATGTTCGCTTTCTTTCTCCTTTGTCATGTAAGCAAATTCCGCGGTAAGATCTTCATCGTTGCATTACTCTTGCTTCTTTTTTTTTTGAAAGACTCTTGGTATATATATTTTTTCTGCATCACTTATTTAGACATCTCGGTCGCCGTTCTTATAACAGTACATACAAATCATGAGCTACTAAGACTTTTAGATGACGAAGAAAAGAGTTGAAGGGGAAGATCTGAATCTTTTGTTGGGTTTGGAGATATGATTATGGGGGGATGGAATAAGAACGCTCCTTGAGTGGAATTCTGGAAGAAGAAAGTTATCGTAAGTTGGTTATATGGGACGATTTTAAATAAAGCAGTTTGAAGAGGACGCACCAAGAGTCTTTCTTTGGTGGGGCACCAGTGCCAGCGTTGTCGGGCCCAGCCTCAGCGGCCGAGCCAGTGGGGTTAGCATTGAGCTGTTGGGCATCTTGGAGCGTCTGGGAGGCTTGCGGATGCGACTGGGAAGTCGAAGGAACATGAGCAATCATCACAGAAGGGAAGCCAACCAAATGAGTGTTGGCTACAAAGCTTCCTATTTTTGATCAACGGGACGAGCTTACATTTTCCGCGGCACCTTCTTTCTTGGCCTCGGCAGTCGTTCCAGCAGAGTCGCTTCGCTTAGTCTGGGCCGGGCCGTGGCCACCGGTCTCCGCCGCATCCGGCGTTTGGCCATTGTTGGCAGCGTTCAATTGTGCAGTAGCTCCCTACGAATCGACCAAGGTACTTCAATCAGCCATTCATTCAGGTCTATCAAACGCTCATAAGTCTCACATACCTGAGCAGCCGAGTCGGCCTTGTCGGCACTCCCAGGGATCTTATCAGTGGGACCCGCATCCGCATTTCGCTTTTTGTGGTCAGCTTTGCCGGACGCGTCTTCACCCGTCGTAGCAGCTGTGGTGGCGTCAGCCGCGCCAGTTGCAGCGAAGACGGCGGCATTTTGAGGGTTGGCCTAAAGTTGAAGTCCGAGCGTTTTCAGCGGCACTTCTATCTCACAATACAATCGATCATGTCACTCACCTGAGTAGTCGAGTCGGCCTTGTCAGCACTGTCAGGGATCTTGCCAGTGGGAGCCGCATCCGCATTTCGCTTTTTGTGGTCGGCTTTGCCGGACGCCTCTTCGCCCGTTGTAGCAGCTGTGGTGGCGTCAGCCGCGCCAGTCGCAGCGAAGACGGCGGCATTTTGAGGGTTGGCCTAAAGTTGAAGTCCGAGCGTTTTCAGCGGCACTTCTATCTCACAATACAATCGATCATGTCACTCACCTGAGTAGTCGAGTCGGCCTTGTCAGCACTGTCAGGGATCTTGCCAGTGGGAGCCGCATCCGCATTTCGCTTTTTGTGGTCGGCTTTGCCGGACGCCTCTTCACCCGTTGTAGCAGCTGTGGTGGCGTCAGCCGCGCCAGTCGCAGCGAAGACGGCGGCTTTTTGAGGGTTGGCCTAAAGTTGAAGTCCGAGCGTATTCTCAGCGGCACTTCTTTCTCACAATACAATCGATCATGTATTGTCACTCACCTGAGTAGCCGAGTCGGCCTTGTCGGCACTGTCAGGGATCTTGCCAGCAGGAGCCGCATCCGCATTTCGCTTTTTGTGGTCGGCTTTGCCGGACGCCTCTTCGCCCGTTGTAGCAGCTGGGGTGGCGTCAGCGGCGCCAGTCGCAGCGAAGACGGCAGCATTTTGAGGGTTGGCCTGAAGTTGAAAGCAGCGATGAGTTGGACGATCAAGGATGGGCCAGTTTAGGGGGCGGGAAAGAATAGACATACCTGCGATGCAGTCGAGGCGCCTTCTTGCCCGGCAGCGGCTTGTTTATCTGCCGAGGCCGCACTTGCGGCGCCGGCCGGGGAACCTGCCTTTTCTTGGGTTGGAGGCGCGGCCGCTGCAGCATCAGCCGGAGAGGAGGACGGGGCGGCTGATGCCAAGCCGGCTAGGGCAGCGACAACCAAGACGAAAGAAAAGAGGGTCTTTCGGGCTTGCATCTTGTATCCTTTCGTGAGTGTGTTCGTAGCAAGGGTGGCGTTGATGTTGTGGGGCGGTCGGCTGCTGGATTGGACTGCTGGATAGGCGGCTTCTGGTGCTGGAGTGGGCTGAGGAATCCCTAAACCGACAGGCAATGCCTTGCTTTTATATCCTTGGACATGTCTGCTCTCGGTGGTGTGCTAGGGACCGACTGATGTTGTGATCTACCCGACGTGTTCCAGTTCGTTCTACACAGAGACTCATCGCTGGCAGCGATTTTAATGCCACAACAACTGATCGGAGCTGCTCGATGGGATTTGACATAGATGGCGCACACACACTATAACAGATCCTTCCCAACTGAAGGAAATGTGTGGATCAACAATGGCATCATCCAGACATCAATTATGTTTGGGTCTACAAACTACAAAGAAACAGGCGTTTCTCTCGAAGTAGATCCAATGCAATGGATCTTTGATCAGATTTCATTCATCCCTTCACGTTCTACATACGTTCTGCTTCCCACCCAGCGCCTGGTGATATCGACAGTCCGATCCAACTCCAATGACTTGAGACTGTGGAGACATGGAAAGGGCTCGTCGTTGAACAATCTACTGCATAGTGGTCACTGGCATGTAACCGATCTAAGATCACTATGTTTGTTTGGGTAAGTGATGGGTTCACACCTGCTCACACATTTCCTGCAGTTGGGAGGGATCCGTTATAGTGTGTGCGCGTCATCTATTCAAGATCCCTTCAAGCAGCTCCGATCAGTTATTGCGGCATTAGAATCGTTGCCAGCGATGAGTCTCTAGAACGTAGATCACAATATCAGTTAGTTCACACAACACACCACCGAGCAGACAAGCCAAAGAATATAAAAGCCAGGCCTTGCTCGCCGATTTATGAACTCCTCAGCCCACTCCAGCACCAGAAGCCCACCCAGCAGTCGACCGACCGCCCCACAACATCAACGCCACCCTTGCTACGAACACACTCACGAAAGGATAACAACATGCAAGCCCGAAAGACCCTCTTTTCTTTCGTCTTGGTTGTCTCTGCCCTAGCCGGCCTGGCATCAGCCGCCCCGTCCTCCTCTCCGGCTGATGCGGCAGCGGCCGCGCCTCCAGCCCAAGAAAAGGCAGGTTCCCCGGCTGCCGCCGCAAGTGCGGCCTCGGCAGACAAACAAACCGCTGCCGGGCAAGAGGGCGCCTCGACTGCATCGCAGGTATGCCTATTCTTTCCCGCCCCCTAGACCGATCCACCCTTGATCGTCCAACTCATCGCTGCGTTCTACTTCAGGCCAACCCTCAAAATGCCGCCGTCTTCGCTGCGACTGGCGCGGCTGACGCCACCACAGCTGCTACGACGGGTGAAGACGCCTCCGCCAAAGCTGACCACAAAAAGCGAAATGCGGATGCGGCTCCCACTGGCAAGATCCCCGACAGTGCTGACAAGGCCGACTCGACTACTCAGGTGAGTAACATGATCGATTGTATTGTGAGATAGAACTGCCGCTGAAAACGCTCGGACTTCAACATTAGGCCAACCCTCAAAATGCCGCCGTCTTCGCTGCAACTGGCGCGGCTGACGCCACCACAGCTGCTACAACGGGCGAAGACGCGTCCGGCAAAGCTGACCACAAAAAACGAAATGCGGATGCGGCTCCCACTGGCAAGATACCTGACAGTACTGACAAGGCCGACTCGACTACTCAGGTGAGTGACATGATCGATTGTATTGTGAGATAGAAGTGGCTCTGAATGCGCTCGGACTTCAACTTTAGGCCAACCCCCAAAACGCGGCCGTCTTTTCCGCGATCAGCCCCACTGATGCTTCCACAGTTTCCACTGCTGGGGATGAGGCCTTCAGCAATACTGGCCACGAGAAACGAAACGCGGATGCACCTCCCGCTGGCAAGATCCCTGAGAGTGCTGATAAGGCCGACTCGGGTGCTCAGGTATGTGAGATTTTTGTATGAGCGTCTGATAGACCTGGATGGCTGATGACCGGAACTCTCTCCTCTGCCGCAGGGTGTTCCTCAATTCAATGCTGTTGATGCTGCTGCTAATGGCCAAGCGACTGATGCGGCGTTTGCGAGTACTCATGCCGTCGCGCAGACAAGGCGAAGTGAACCTTCTGGAGCGGCTGCTGATGGCAAGAAAGACGCCACAGCGGAGAATGTAAGCCCTCTATCCAAGTCGCTGCCGAGAACAAAACCAGACGTTACTCATTCATTTTCGTCCTGATTTTTTCGTTGGTTCGCTACTTTCCTCAGACATCCCAGCCCAGTCCGAAGGACTCTCAAACGCCCCAAGAAGCCCAGCAGCTCAACACTAGCCCCTCAGGCTCGACCCCTGATTCTGGTGCCGAAAACCCTGCCTCCGACAAGAAGGACCACTGGTGCGTCTTTCTCTTCCATTTCCCTTTTGGTGAATAATCACCATGTGTTCTTGAGCTCATCGCCTGGACTGAGAGGCTGACGATCTGAATCATTCTGATGTTCTGCATTGCTGCATTTTTTGCTTTCAGAACCCACAGAATTAATAGTGCCAACCTTTCTCTTTCTGAGCTCTTTCATTCTCAAACCAATTTTCTTTTATGTCTCCTTGTACTGTACCCCCCTTGACCCACCAAAGCGTTGTAGATCACTATGGTTTTTTCATGTACCAAAGAGAAGAATTGTGGATCACATTTCGTGATGGTCCTCCCTCAAAGGCTGCAAGAGTTGTATAAAGAACTTGAACTGGATCATTTTTTTCTCAGAAAAATATCACTATTTTTTTAAATCACCATCGAACCCAGCAAGACAAAATTGAGCCATACTTTGCTCTGTGCTCCCCCAGAATGAATAGCTCACTGGGGAACTCGAGATTAACATCCGCGGAAGCTCAAAGACTCTCTAGATTGGAAAAAAATCTTTTGTTTCATACAAGGTCTGAGTGGAGTAAGCCTTTTTCGCCGGGGACTTCATCCCCACCGGCGGTGGGGCCACCGCTATAGGCATTTTCTATCCCGGGCCAAGACTGGGCCGGCTGTGCCGGTTTCTCAAGGAAGATTGAGAGGCTCCGGATTCTTGATTCTCTGGGTCGACGCCATGGTAGGTGTGGAGCTGAGTCAAACTCAGCGACGGAAGAAACAAAAGGGTTCAGTTCGACGAGTTTTGGTTAGCTTGATCACAACGAAAAGCATTGAAATGCAGTACTTTTGCGCAAATCCAAGAGCTCACACAGGTTATGATTCCCCGCTTCAGAAGTGCTCTGCACCTCGCCCTCAACTCTTGCTGTCGGTTGCTTCTAAAGCCAGGCTCGGCATATAGAAGCTATCCAGGAGCACTTGCTGCAAGTGCTGCTCAAGTCAGGCTCAGCATTGTCGAAAGGTTTAAATGGACAAGCGGTTCCCGCCGTACCACCCGTCTCCCCATTGCTAGTGCCCGACACCTACTCCACGAACCCCATCCTTTCCCCTCCCATCTTCTTCCAGACTAAAGACTAAAACCACCAGCTTGATAAACATCTAAAATATATAAACGATAAAAGATGGATCGAGCCATATTGGAGTTGACGGAAACGGCTTTATCGCACCTCACCCCTCAAGATCAGCTGCTCTTCGACAGGTTTTTTACGAACTTTCAAGACGCTTACTTAGAGTTGTTCAATCACCCTCTCCGGGGCGCCTTTACTGACGAGGAAGACGCCTACTTCGGCCGTTATGTGAATCGAGTCATCGACGCGCTGGATCGTTTGGGAAGGGAAGATGTTCAACGCTTAGAGTTCATATGGTTTTATTGGATAGGTATGATCGAAGATTTGGAGGAATCTCGGGCTGTCACCTTTGCCAGGCGAAGGACTCAGATTGAGGAACGATTAGACACTCTCCCCATCATAACCTCTCCCACTCTGACATCTATCCCCGACGGCGAAAATTTGGGATGCTTAGTTTGCTTGGAAGAACTTGCCCAATCCCAAGAAGTCATAATTCAGCTTCCGTGTCATCCTTCCCACCTTTTTCACCGTGATTGCATCCAAGTAAGCCAACTCCTCTCAACTTCCATTTCCCATATCTCGAAGCTGATTTCATTCTCTTTCCATTGTAGCGCTGGCTAGAAGGAAGCTTGGGATGCCCTACCTGCCGAGCTGAGGTCGAACTGCCACCCTGGCTAATCCCCCAATGAGCTGATGGACACGACATTTTGTTCTTGTATCAATATGTCTCATTAACCTTTGTTGTAGAATAATTCCTTAATCTCCTTTTCATGGATGAATGACAGTAATGAAATTACTTTTAGTCTGACCTTTGCCCACGCGCAACGCAGTCCTTTGAGTTTCTCCTTGTTCGCATAAGTTGTATACTCCAGTGCCATCGTTATCCTAGATATCATGAATTATCAAACCGATCCGGCTCACATCTGAACAAACGGAGGTCCCTGTGGGCCCTCATAGGCAAAAACGAGTGCGAGTTCTTCATTTGCTAATGATAACCAGGATTGCATGCACTTGGGGGTCCTCCCAGATTCCGTCCCAAGTCTGCATCGCCCGCGAGAGGTACGACGGCCCCCTGGCATCCCAAGCAAAAACAAAGAGCAGCAACACAGACTTGTCTTGATATCATGAAATTCAAGCCTTGAATAGGATAATTTTTCTCTCTATCAAACCCTCCCCCGCATCTCAAATCAATCAGCATTTTATTTCTAGAAGACAACAACAAAATACCCCACAATTTGATTCGTGCCCCGCACACACACTAAAAATAAATATTTGACTAGAGCCTGGTTCAACCTATTTTGAGGCGAGGCTTAAAAGATCATATTGTCCAAAATTTAGAAGATGGGAGCTTGGGTCAACCCTCAGTGCAACTTCAAATTAGGACCTCTCATGACTGATCAGGAAGAGGTATAAATTCGTTGAAGCTCAGACTGAATAATTCAGATTGGAATTCTCAATTCAGTAGAATCAAAGAATGATCCAAGTATTCTTGAAAACTTCATTTTGATTTTCTTTCTCAGATAATTCTTCTCTTAGCCATTACCTGTAGCTGTGACTCAAGGGCCTCTAGCCTCCCGTGCAACACAAAAGTGGATTTAAACACAGGGTCGGTCAGAATTCAAAATCGTCTTCAACGGAAGCTGGAAAAGTTTCTGCTTTTGGAAAAACCTTTTGCTTCATGCGGGGTCTCACATATAATGCTGTTCGCCGGGGACTTTATCCTCACCGACATCTGGATTTTGTCTCCCCGGCCTGGATTGGGTCAGCTCTTCTCCACGAGGATTGAAAGGATCCGAAGTCTCGATTCTCTAGGTCGACACCGAGATAAGCTGAGTTGAGCTCAGGGACTGAAGAAACAAAGGGGTTCAGTCCGGCGCGTTTTGTTTAGCTTGATCACAACGAAAAGCATTGAAATGCAATTCTACGCAAATCCAAAAGCACACACATATTAAGATCCGCTGCTTCAGAGGAACAGGCGGCTCTCAACCTGGCAGAGTCAGAACAACTGATGCATCGTCAAAAAATAAGGCTTTCCTTGTTACCTCACACTTGAAGTTGCAACATCCAGCAAGTCAAGCTGGGAGAGAATTCTCTGTAGCAGCTGACACAATGGATGCAAGCTGCAAAATTGCTCCGCACCTCACCCTCGACACCTGCTGCCAAAAACTGGCTCGGCATGGATTAAATGCAGAAGATTGAGCCCACTCTACAGCAGCCAACACAAAGGATGCAAGCTACGCCAGAGCTCAACACCCTCGAGGCCTGCTTCAACTGCTGCTCAAGTCAGACTCAGCATTTAGGAAAGGTTTAAATAGACAAGCGGTTCCAGCCGCACCTATCAATCATCATCCCAACTTCACTGTCCGACAACTCCCCCCACCTAACTCACCTCTTTCCATTCCATCTTCTTCCAGACTCACACTTAAAAGTCTTAGTCTACTAAATCTCAAAGATGGATCGAGAAATATTAGAGTTAACGCAAACGGCTTTGTCGCACCTCCCACCCCAATATTACCAGGTCTTCGATGATCTTTTTCGGGCATTTCAAGCGGTCCACTATGAGTTATACAGTAATCCTCTCCGAGACCGCATGACCACCGAGGAAGCCGCCGAGTTCTTCTCCTCTATAGGTCAAGTCGATTACGCGTTGAAGCATTTGGGAAAAGAAGATCTCGAACGCTTAGAGTATTTATTTTCTTATTGGGTGAATGTGATTACAGATCTGGACGAATCGCGGGCTACTTCCTTCAAGAGGCGACGAATTCTGGTTGGAAAACGATTGGATACCCTTCCCATCATATCCGGCCCCACTCTGAAATCAATCCCCGATGGTGAAACTTTGGGATGCGTAGTATGCATGGAAGAGCTTGCCCAATCCCAAGAAACCATCATTCAGCTTCCGTGTCATCCTTCCCACCTTTTTCACCGCGACTGCATCCAGGTAAGCAAACTCCTCTTAACTTCCATTTCCCATACTTTGAAGCTGATTTCAATCTCTTTCCATTGTAGCGCTGGCTGGAAGGAAGCTTGGGCTGCCCAACCTGCCGAGCTGAAGTCGAACTACCACCCTGGGAAGGCCCCCAATGAATTGTTCTACATGGCCTCCTTTTCCTCTATCCATTTGTGTCATGAAACTTTGTTGTAGAATTTTTCCTTGACTTTCTGTCCATTCAAAATCAATAGTAATATTAATCCCTTGTAATCCAGGCCCCGCGCACGCGCAACGCAGTCCTTGCAGTTTCTCCACTGTTTGGGGTAACAGTTCAGAGGGACGTCGGAAAGATCTATATTCCAGTGCCAAAATAGAAACTACGAATCAGGAAACTGATTCGGCTGAAACCCCTCCCAAGGTGAAAATCATTCGGACCTTGAAGTGGGAAACTTCCATATAGATACCTTATGAGATCACATGAATCGGCTGTAGTGATTGATTCCCTGGCAGACCATCACTGATCAGGAAGAGGTGTGGATTTATTGAAGCTCCGACTGAACAATTCGAATGGGAATTTCCAGTTGAAAATAATAGTCTGAAACTCTGATACTCATTCTATCAATCAATTGGTTTCAGAGCAGCCAGGTTGAAAGGGGAATATGTAGATGTCAATTAAATTCTCAACAGTGGAGTCAAAATCTCAAAGTTTAATAAATCGAAGTGGTCAGCTGTTTTTGAGGCACAAAAAAGGTTGTATAACCACCTATGATGACTTGTGAGTTTATGATACTGACTCAACACACCGAACACAAGAGAGGTTCTTAGCTTCCCGAGTATCACGCTCCTCCTAGCCTTTCGGTTAAAACCCAGGAAGCCTCGATAAGACGGTCTCGTTGAATTTACTGCTGGCTTTTAGACGCGATGAGAGCACCACCGGCCATTGGCTGCAGGCTGCGGACCCAAGGGTTAATTTTTGCATGCATTTGAATATGCATACAGCTGAAAATGAATATTCATTTTGAAATTTCCTGAATTTCATCCCCTGGCCTTTTTTGCTTGAGAATCCACCATCCAACGAAGAACCAAACTGCCTACCATATCCTAAGCAAGTCAGTCCTACTTTCACTGAAATGTGTATCTGCTTTGATTAAGAAAAACGCACTAACACACTGCCGGTCGAACAGATCGATTCCATCAATACATAGCACATCTGCCTCGTTTCTTTGATCGTTGGATTTTCTCGTCATGTCTGGAAATGCTGAAGGCGAACATATTCCAGTTCCAACCACCTCGGCCCCAGTGCTGGCAGCGGCCCCACCATCTCAAAGCCTGCAAGAATCTCATCCTCAAAACCCACCTTATGTGAACCAAATGGTAGAGGATATCATCTCAAAAGCAACCGCATACTTTCCTCAGTCTTCCTCCGTGACACCTCTCACATTCTCAAACCAATTCAACCCATCACAATATCCATTAGGTCCTCAATCATACAACATGCACCATTGGAGCCCATCAGATGTCTCAGCACAACCAATGCACCACATGATGGCCCAGCCTCAAGTTCCTATCTCTTCATCACAAATACCAAGCCCTTCGGTCGATCCCAGGAGTCATTTACCCCAAGACATATTGCACATTCTCCAATCCGATTTTACCAGCGATTCTGCCGACAACCAAGCCCGGAAAGATCAACAGATCAGTCGTGTTGCCGAAGAATTGCGAGTCAAGGTTCGCTTGAGTCGATACACACGGGTCCGTGATCAACTGTCAGATAGTGAAGATGAAGTCAGTGAGCAGGGCAAAGAAAGCGACATATCTGAGGACGAGAGTGAGGAGGGCAGTGAGAAAAACTCGGAGGATCGCATGAATAACCGAAAAGTCAATCCTCAAAGTGATATTGATGATGAAGCTGATCTCGTCGATGGCAGCGGTGATGAGGAAGAAGAACGGGCAAAAAACAATAAAGTTTTGGCCAAGCTCAAGATGGAGATAGAAAGCATTATCGGTATCCCTGAATCAGCTACTGGTCCCACGGAGGAAGCCGCTGAAACCATGACGACGACTATCCAACCGGACGAAAAGCCAACAATAACCAACGAACTCGAACTACTGACTGAAATTGAAGCTGTCGCAGAAGCACCGGAACACGTTCAGATCTCAACTATTGCTGAGCCGGAAGATGCTCCCGCTGTAACATCGATTCCAGAAGACCCATCGGTAACCGAGCTTCTCGCCAAAGTCAAATCTCAAATCGACCAGCTCAATAAAAGCTCAGAACCCACATCAATCATAATCCCGTCGGAAACTCGTATAAAAGAAGAATCTCCACCGAATCCAGAACCTGAAACTGTGACTCCAGCCAGCCTATCAACTCCAACCACAGTTGAAGCTAAACCTGCGCCGCAAGGGTCCAGGTACGTTGACTAGTTATTTTAATATTGAATCCGTCACTTTTTAGGCTCCAGTGCTATCAATGTCTGATGTCATTATGATTTCTATCTATGTTGATCGCAGTTCCCAGGTTAAGCCGCAGACGTCCAACCCCCGCAAGAAAGCCCCGCCCAAGAAACGTGTGGGGAGGTCCGCGGACTCTGGAGATGAATCCGATGACGAAGGTCAAGAAAGCTACCTTGCCACAGCGGGACCGACAACAGCCAACGAACTCAAAGAACCACCTTCTGAAGTGGTAGAGGTGCCCTTTACGAGGGTCACAGATGAGGAGCTTAAGTCGATCAATCCTTTTGGGTCGATTTCTTCGCTCATCGGAAACGTGCTGGTCATCCAAGGTACTGCTGGGCTAGGATACGATCGCGTGTTGGACGAGGGCACTTTGGTCTGTCAAAAGGACGGTCTGGTGATTGGTAAAGTAAGTTGGAGTTGGTTCCATATATAGACCGAGTCACGAACCACCTGACCCGATCAACTCGCTCTTATTTATTGTCAGATCTTCGAGACCTTTGGCTCGGTCACCAACCCACATTATAGCATCAGATTGCCGAATCATATCTTAGCTTCCCACCCTCGAAATGATAAAGAAGGGCTGGACCTCTCTCCCGGATTGGTTATGTACTACCTACCCACACACTCAAACTTCGTCTTCACGGCTGAACTCAGAGCACAGCCGAAAGGAACAGACGCCAGTAACTTTTACGACGAGGAAGTCGGGAACGCCGATGAGATTGAATTCAGCGATGATGAGGCTGAAGCGGCATATCGCAAAGCATGTAGATTAGCCAAGAAAACCGCAAACGATCCTCATCCGAACCCTCATCATCAAAACCATCCTCGAGAGAATAATCATCAAGACCACGCTCGGGCCAATAATTCGGTCCAAGTCTCCGAAAACGGAAGACGGATGTTTGTCAAAATGACTTCAGATCGGTTAAACTATGGTACAGATGACGGTGATTTACCGAGTCAAAGTGGAACCGTAGAGTCTGATTACAGCCTACTGCAGAGGCCGAAAGCTAGTAATGATCCTTCGATGTCGATGTCTACTCCTACGCATTCCAACAACAAACAGTCTTCATCACAAAGATCGAGGGGGAAAAAGCGAGCACCTGGTGGACGGGATAGGAATCGCAAGAAGTTTCCTTCCCAGACATCACATGCCTCATCCAGTCAACCCGGTCCTACGAGCTCAGTAAGTGGTACAAACGGCGGTTCCAATCATCCCAATGGAAATTCACGGGCAAACTTTCAAGCCGACAGAACTTCCACCAATCCCGGAATTCAGAGTCAACTCAATTCCCTTCCTGCTAATCCTAATTCAAATCTTCTGCAATCCCCAAGAGATGTGCAGGGTAGCTTGATGTCCACCCTGGGAAATATGAACATGAACTTTGTCACACAACCGCCCTCTCACTCACTCCAACAGAGCATGCACTCTTTACCTTATACACCGATGTGGACGGCGCCCAACGGAATGGCAATGACTCAGAACCCAATGATGATGTCGATGATGATGAATCAGAACGCTTATTATCAATCCAACGCTGGGATCCCTTCCTATAACCCTCATCTCCCTGCCCATTCTTCCAATCCCATCCTCCAATTCGGTCTTCAACACCCCAACTTCGCATCCGTTCCTCCTGCCCAACAACTATCTTCTCAACATCCTTCATCGAATCCCTCCTTTCAGTTTTCTCAGCTTTCTCAGCAGCCTCAGAACCATCAAGCTCAAAATCAAGCTCAGAACAATCAGCCCTCTCACCCGTTTCCTACTACCCCTAATTTCTCAACCGGTGGTCACTTTAATCCTTCGTTCTATAGACCCCCTTGATCGTTTTCTTTTTCTTTTTGTCAAGGATAGTTTGGTCTGCATTCTTTTCTTCTGTCGCTTTGATTTCCTTCCATTTCTTTTACTTGGTCTTGTTCTCGTTATATTTTTCTTTGTGTATTCGATCGTTTTTTTTAATAAACAAAAAGAAACAGGAAGTGTGATGATACAAAATGAAGTGTGATGATATAATTCCAAAAGAATAGGGGGAAATCCCAGTATGTATCGGGCTGCTTTCTGTGCAGTTTGCTATTCATAAACACATTGGCTTGTTAACAATTTAGCCAGTCTATCCAAGTCTTTGGAATTTACAATGCTTTAGCGATCTTGTGGAATCATCCAGAAGTAATACACACCTTTATATATCTACTCCAATGATTTCGCCATTAATAAAACAGAGCATAATTATCACATGATTGCTTAGACTGAGAAGCAGTTGAGATCAAAGAGACAAAGAAGCAGCACATGAGATCGTAAAGAACAGGAGAGATCCCTCTGACCAAGACCGAGGAGGCTCTGAACGCGCCGCAGAGCTCATTCATGTCGGGCCTGGAATCAGTTGATCGATAGGATTAAACCTGATTGTCTTCGTTTTACCCTTCTCACTCGCTGAATCGTCCTCTGATATCTCAGTTTCTTTCTCCTGCCCACACTCACTTCATTTTTTTACTTTCTGACAGGAGATCAATCACCGTTGAAGAAATCGTCCCACCTCATAGATCAATCTTCATCATCAACTGTCCCAAAATACAAGCGAAATATCCTACTAGAAGGATTGCAAATAGCAAAGTACGCCATCGGGCCAAAAGGATTCTTTTTTTTTAGAAACAATTTTGTTGCAAGACAAAACTTTCCATGTATTCATGAAGAATGGATGGACGGACAAGAGGCATGAATCAACGAGGGAAGATCAATGGCCAGATGAGCGTACAAAGAATTACGTACAGCGTTGTCATTGTTGTCTGGGAGGAGAGGCCGCCATAGCGGTGGAAGAAGTGCGGATGGCATCCTGCATCGCGCTAAGTTGTCTTCCAATCGTTTTTCCTTGACCTGACATTCCACGAAGGCCCCAAAGGATACATACATACTTATCTGCTTCTATGGTCCCGGAACGTTAAGCGATTTTTGCAAGCTGGTGCTCCGGCTCGTCTAACCGATTTGTTTGGATTTCTGTTGTTCTCCTGCAACCATCTCCACAGGAAAGTATGTACATCAGTGTCGCGCGCAAACGCACAAAAAAACCTCCCGCAAGCTCCCAGATGTGTCGAAACTCGAAAGCCGTTCAAAAAGGAGATCCTCCATCGCAACGGTCCCACGGCAGGTTTGTTTGATAACTTTTTGATCATCGGAGTGGAAAGGCGCTGGGGTACCGTCAAGAGTGTACATACAATTTGGAGGATCTTTGCTCGTCGATGCGGAAAAAAACTATCTTGGACGCGCAGACTTGCTTGAAGTGTGCAACTATTGAGAATCGCGTCGGGCTCAGACCACGAACGGATAGAGATCACTGGCACAAAGGCGCAGGAGATCTTGGAGAACAAAAACGAGGATTCCTGAAAACTAAGTCGCAGCTTTTCCTTGATGTCAATTTACTTCCCTTCTCCTTACCACCAACATGCTCATTTGTTCTTTATACTTTTCGATCTACTTTGCAGTTACACTTGGCTTAACAAACCTTACAAACGCTATCCAAGGCAAATTCTCCCATTCATCCGAGCGATACCTGGTTTCATTCAATCGTAACCGATCAGTTCAGTTTTTTCTTTTCTTGTATTCGTGGCCTTGATATGTAAAAGCTAACAACAATGTCAATTCCGCAAACGAGAAGAACTCCTTGGAAGAATTCAAAGCGCACCTTGAGAGCAAGGGGATCAACCACGAAATTTTGATCGACTTGACAAATCTGGTCCCCGAGGTTTTTTGTGGAGTTTCTGTGCAGATCTTTGAGGAAGACCTCAAGCACTTGGAAAGTTTTGCTCATGTCGAGGTGCGCAAGTAAATCCTAAGTGGTATTGTCAAAAAGGCAATGTTGACATTTTTCTTAATCTATCGCAGCAAATTAGCCGAATCGGAAAGGTTTCGCGGCCTAGGTCATTGCAGGAGCGTCGCTTAGATGGACCTACAAATTCAGCCAGCTTGCAATATCCCCCTCATATTCAGACTCGCATCTCTAAACTGCATGAAATGGGCATTGCTGGCCAAGGAGTAAAGGTAGCTTTGATTGATACTGGTATTGATTGCACCCATCCCGCTTTTGGGAACGGTTTTGGACCAGGATTCAAGATAGGATTTGGAAGAAGTTTTGTGAATGACGATGGCAGCCCTATCAGCCCCAGCGAGAGTGAAGCGCCCCGAAGTCCCTGCACCCGGTGCGGCGTAAGTCATTATCTTTTGAGCTTAGGCAGCCGCAGACCGATGTTGACCTGCCTACTTCTCCGCACAGGCGCACGGCAGTTCCACGGCCGGGATACTTGCGGCGTCAGACACTGGGTATGGATTTACTGGAGTGGCTCCCAGCATCAACCTTGGAATGTATCGTGAGCACCAGGTTAACCATACTTTGTCCACCAGCAAACTGATTTTTCAATCTATTGGAAACACTCTTTCTGATGGAAGGCGGTGAGCTTCAAGGCTGGATCCGAAACTTCCACGTTTGCTGATTTACTGTTGTTGAATAGTTGTGGGATGTGACGAGGATGTCGGTGCTCATGATGATGTGATTATAGCTGCCATGCTGCAAGCTCAAAAAGATGCCGGTGTGTTAAATCATGGCCTTGCTCCTTTGGACTAGTCAAAACTTGAACCCGCTTCACTAACTGCTTTGGCATCTTTGACTTTCACATAGCGGACATCATTTCGATATCATTGGGCAGTGGGGGCGGCTGGGGGGAGGGAAGAGAGTTATCAAGAGTAGCAAACAAATTGGTTCAAGAGAAAGGCGTCATCATGGTTGCTTCAGCAGGGAATAGTGGACATGTGAGCGCAAAAGGTCCAACCCTATGAAGTGGCTGCATTCATTTAAGGTTGATGTTCATTTCTCGTTCAGAATGGATTATTCATCGGGGAAAGCATATCATCATCAAAGAACGTTATCGCTGTTGGCTCAGTAGACTCTCAGGCTACGGTTGCTCGCAATTTCAAAACTTCTACAGGGAAGAACCTTACACTCTACAGACCAACCGCAATGGACCTTCCTGGCGAATATCTGGTCTACTTAACTTTTAATCCAACCGAGGGCATAATGGATGCTTGTAACAAACTCCCCGAGAATACTCCAAATCTGAAAGACTACATTGTTTTGATCAAGAACGCGACGTAAGACTTCAATAACCCTTATGCGTATGTTAAAATGGTTGATTCTGACATTTCAAGTTTCAACAGGAACTGTTTATTATTTGATCAAACAAAAAATGCAGTGGCCAAAGGCGCCAAACAAATTCTTTTCTACCTGGGGGTCTGGCTCTTATCTCTCCCTTTGCGTTCAATCACCTGTCTGATAAACCTGGTCAATTTTCTGCTCAGGATTCGACCACCATTCCAGATTTACATACCAAGATGTTGAATGCAACCATCTCTGCGATACCAATGGAAGATGGAAATTACATTTTTGATCAGGCCAAGAAGGACCCCGCAGGTTTCAAGGTGTCATTTCCATTGACTCCCTACTTTTATGGTAAGCACACCAATTGCGCTTGATATGTTTCTCCCAAAGACTGAAAACCTGCTTTTTTCAGTGCGCAATCTAGATGGTGGTTTGCCAAGCAAATATTCAACATAGTTCAGTTCTATTTTTTTTCTTCTCTTGTCTAATGAACACCCTCTAGCTCAACTACTTAACCATGGATTACAGCGGACCTAGTTTTGATTTTGAGAGCCCCCAACCTGCTGTGGCAGGCGTTGGTGGGATTGTAGCTAGTATGTCACTGAAAGCCAGACATTGTTATCAAGAACATCTACTGACTCTTCAACTTGTGATCTTAGCAACTTTGCCTATCCAGTATGGTAGCTATGTGAGATAGTTTGTGATACAAAATTGCTGTCATTCAAGGTGATTGTTCTGATCAGGATCTTACTTTGAATAGGGCTTAGTAGCCGGGACATCCATGGCAGCTCCACAGGTATGCCATCAAAAGATAGATTCATCTGCGCAACATAGTAAACTCCCTTTTTGAATCCGCACAGATTGCAGGTATCATTGCATTGATCTTGAGCGCAAGAGGCAAAGGATTCACTGGACCAATTATGCGCTCGCGATTGTCAACTAACGCTAAGGTTCTAAACAGCCCCATTACGTCTATGGGTCTTGACTGTAATTAAATCTTTGTGGAATCATCATGAAGTTTAGAGACGCATGTTTTTGACACGAATTATGTTGCAGCTGTTGTTCATCAGGGCGGAGGTCTTATTGACGCCTTCTGCGCTGTTTGGACAAACACCACCATCTCAGTTCCTGGACTGGTTCTCAACGATTCGATATCTTTTAAGCCGAATCAAGGATTTACAATCTCAAACAATGGCACAAGTTTTGTTGATTATGTTTTAAGCCACCGTCCAGCTGTCACGCTCCAAACATTCTCCCCAGATTCCAAGTATGGTCGACCGGATCTCAAGCCCACCCCATCAAATTTATCAGCAACTGCTGAGATATACCCCCGGCAATTCCGGCTGTCACCGGGCTCATCTCAATCAATCGAAGTGAAGTTTTTGCCACCTGAAAGCTTGGATCCTCGTTGGCTTGCAGTTTATTCAGGTTACATTGTGATGGTAAGTATGAAAGCTTGCCACACTCCTCAAGTTCTTTGAGGCAACTGAACAGCTAATATTACAATTTATTTTCATGTAAAAGGATTCCAATGTTGAGTGTGAAAGTCATAATCTTCCATACTACGGTGTGGCTGGATCTCTCAAAGAACAATCAGGCAAGTGGATGCAATTCATGTTTTCTGAAATAATGAACCATAAATATGCTAGCTAACTGAATTGGTAATGCTCTAGTTATTGACCGGGGTCCCAATCAAGGGAACTTAACCAACTATCCCTACCTCACATTCAAAGCATCTGATTCAGGTCTACACGGAAATAATACAACTTTGTCTGTTGGAAAACTGACCCCGCTGAATGGTGCCTTTGTTTGGAACTTGAAGGAACACAACAGCACTTTTTTGAACTTCAGACTGCTGTGTGAGAGATATTGGGCCCGGTTACTTTTGACCAACATTGTAATGTTGCTGAATGATTGCTGATGATTTTCTTATTGGGAACAGTTGGATCACCTCTTTTGAGGTTCGATGTCTTACCTGGAAACACAATCCTATCAAACGATATGGATGACATGGATGTTGAGCGGTCTTTTAGAGGTACGCGCTTGGTTGGTACCATTCCGGTTGAAGGTCCCAATGAAAATATATGCTGGGGACGTTCGAGGTGTGTAAAACTTTGCACAGATCAGAATTCAAGACGCTCAAGAACGACTGAAAGCACAATCAATGTTATTCATCACACTTGTTGATATCTCCTCCTAATTCTAGCTATGATCACGAATCTAGATCTTGGAATGGTACAATTATAACCCAAGATAAAACGACAGCACAGCTCCTACCAAATGGAAATTACAGACTTCTTTTCAGGTTTGTCAACACCATACATTGCATAAAAACCAGGATATGATACTCATTCCTATGCTTTCTAAGGGCTTTGCGTGTAACGGGCACCAAAGAAAACCCAGATGATTATGATCACTGGATATCTCCAGAGTTCAAGTTCATAAACTCTCAAGGATAGACACACAACCTCATGGCAGCTGTTTTGTAAGTGAGGTGCAATAACTATCCATCAGTGTGCTTAAATCTTACCCTTTCCAAGTGCACTAAAATTATTGTTATTAAAATTGTTTGAAGCAGTTTCACTTCTCCTTTCAAGATACCTGCTAGCAACTATGTCATTTGAAAAGGCAGTTTTTTGGGTTGGAATCTATTGTTTTTGATCTACAATTAATGTTGATACCAGTTGTTTAATTTGAACTTTATAAAATCAAAAACTCCAACTTCAATCATACAACTTGCTTATTTGTGGAAAACTAAAATGAATTTCAAGTTTTTGTTTGTATTTGAGATTGTCTGCCTATAAGCCTGAAGAAGTCTTTGCCAGTAAAAACTAGAGATGTTCTAAGGGTATTTGTTGTGGATACCTGCTATCTGCTGGTGGATACCCACCAGCGCCAACAGATACCTGCCAGGGGATACAGATTTGGGTGTGGATGTCCTCTTTGTTGAGATGAACACCCTGATGATCTGGAGACATATGTGTTGGAAAGGATCATTGTTCATTTCAACATAAGCACAGAGATAAATGAGAATAAAAAGAGAAGAGGCATACCTGGAGACATATGTGTTGGAAAGGATGAGGAAAAGAATATTCTCCCAAGCACAGATGTCTCCAGTATAAGAAATGAGAGAAAACAAATGAGTTTCAAAGAGTGTGAAATGAGGGAAATGAGATCTACATAAAGCACACAGACAAACATGAACATGAGACGGATAGTGACATGTCACAGGCATCTCAACACATTTTCCCTCAAAATCCTAGTGGTTATCCGGGTATCTCCAGGGATACCCGTCAGAGGAACCCCTCAGCCTTGAGACCTTGTACGGTCTCAAGGCCACGAGGGGTTCCTCTTGGCCTGGAGACGGTACCGTCTTGAGGCAGACGAGGCCCCCCCTGGTTGACTGGAAGGTTTTAACAGTTTACAAGGCACAACCTTGTTGACTGGAAGGTTTCCACCCGGGACAAGGCACAACCTTGTTGACTGGAAGGTTTTCCAGTTGACAGGGCACATGTACCTTGTCAGCCAGAAGGAATACCTTCTGGTCAATTGTTGGTTGCCCCCTTCAACCACCCTAGGTGTGATTTAAGGGGCGGATATCTAAGGATACCCACTGTGGCCAAGGGATACCCACCAGCGGATCCAGATATCTGATTCCTCTGAAATAGCAAGCAGATGTCCGGATGCGGTGGGGCCATCTCTATATCAAGTTAGAGAGGGATTCATCAGGGGGCCCATGAATCCCAACAACCCGGCCATAAACCTCTTGTAGATGCCTGTTGGTACGTAGAACTCCTTGGAAAACCTATGTGTGTTGACTTTGTTTGGTCTTCACATGTGATAGTCTTTGCAAAGATTCTCCTCTGGTGCTAGTGTGTCTGTACCTCAGAACTATCACCCACCACCTCAACTATTAGTCCCTCCCCCTCCTCCCCCCCCCCCCCCCCAAAGGAAAATTGACCATCTTGACAGGCTGGAAAAAAAATCTGAACTTTCCCCATGCATCTGCGGCACCAATTTCCAAAACAAAATCTATATATATGGGAGAAATGAAGATTTGAATATTTGGCTCTTCATAAGTGTGTGTATGTATCCTAGCTCCACCAATACATCTTCATGGGTTCCATCATTAGTTCTTGGACCCTCTCAGTTCATGTAGTCCGTCAACTGTATAAGGATTGCGGGTGTTTAATATGAAGTGATAGAGAACTCATAGGAGTTGCATGAACAAACAGATGGTGTACTATACTATCCTCCAACACAACCAGATTCATCTCTCTTGGGATGATTGCAGGGACATCCAACTTCCAGCCAGCTCTCTGATTTCTTTCTTGGTGCATGTGTTGAATTTCTGGGCTGATGGGTGCAAAAGATAATAATCTTCCATTTTGGGAGAGGCTCACAGAAAAAAAAAGAATGAGAGAACCAATAGTTTCTTATTTGCTGTAGTAGTTAGGCTGGCTTAAGTAGACTAAATACCAGTGATCAGCCTGTGGTTGAGAAAAAGAAAAATGAATACAAATCAAGAGAGAAGATCAAATAAGTTCTTGAAAGTAACAAACTAGACAACACTTCTCATTCACTTGTAAGTTGTAGTCAGCCTAGATGAGTTAGTCAAGACAAACTATTTTATATCACAAATAAAAAGAGTTCCTATTATAAGCTGATTTTTGAGTATCAAATAATAAGCCAGGAAAAAGATGACTTATTACCATAGAGACAAGCATAATTGAGGTGAGCTGATTGACTTAGGCTTAATAACATTTGACTCAGAAAACTAGGCTCAGAAAAACAACACCCGGTTTGTCACAGCCTTTGTAATTCATTTTTTTTTTTTGGAAATTCTCAATTATATGCTAACAATCTTCTCAAATTCAACATTCTTTTATAAGTTGGGTATATAAACAATCCTCAAAAGAGAACTTTTAATTTTAATTTTATTCATCAAGTTTTTTTTCCTGTCTAAAAAAAAAACAAGCTAAATACTTGGCAAAATTAATCTGATCTGGATTAAGACGACTTATAGAAGAGAAGAGAATTAGGGAAGGGTAGACAAGAAGCAGAACAACTGATCAGCATGTATATATACATTTTTTTTTCTTTTGGACTTGATCTTTAATCTTAGGTTGAATCATCCAGATTGTGAACATCTTTCAACTTGTTGTTTTTTTTTCTTAAATCACTGTACTCCTCTACAAATAGTAGTCAATTATTACTAGAGATGGGCGGGGATAATCCATTGCGGATATCCGCTATCCGCTGGCGGATACCTGCCAGTGCCAGCGGATGTCCTTCCCCCCCCCCAAAAAAAAATTACCGCCGGATATCTGGGTATCCCCTGGGATACCCGAGACCAAT